AATCTTTTGGAACATCCAAGTGACGTCTGTGTTTTTAGAAAAGATCAAGGGAGCTCAAATTAAAGATCCGACGGTTCAAAATTGGATGAACAAGGTGAAGAAAGGGGAAATTTCCGATTTTAATTTGAGCTCTAAAGGGATTTTAAGATTTAGAAATCGAATCGTAGTACCTGATGATAGAGATTTGAGAAGGGAAATTTTGGAGGAAGCTCATCGATCTAAGTATACAATCCATCCAGGAAGTAACAAGATGTATCGTGACTTGCGGCAATTGTACTGGTGGGACAAGATGAAGAGAGAGATAGCTCAGTACGTGCAAACCTGCCTAGTGTGTCAGCAAGTTAAGGCTGAACATCAGAAGCCTTCGGGATTGCTACAACCTTTGGAAATTCCTGAATGGAAATGGGAACATATTACTATGGACTTCGTTTCTGGATTACCTAGGACTCAAAGAGGACATGATGCCGTATGGGTGATCGTTGATCGATTGACCAAGTCGACTCATTTCCTACCTGTGAATATGAAGTATTCCATGGATAAGTTAGCCCAGGTATATCTGGAGGAGATTGTACGATTACATGGAGTGCCCGTGAGTATCGTTTCTGACCGAGACCCTCGTTTCGTGTCGAGATTCTGGCAAAAGTTTCAGGAGACCTTGGGGACGAAGCTGAATCTGAGTACTACTTATCATCCTCAGACGGATGGACAGTCGGAGCGAACGATTCAGACCCTCGAAGATATGTTACGCACGTGTATCCAATATTTCGGGGGCAATTGGGGACAACACATGACTTTAGTGGAATTCGCCTATAATAACAGCTACCATTCATCAATCCAAATGGCGCCGTACGAAGCCCTTTATGGGCGAAAGTGTCGTTCACCAATTTATTGGGATGAAGTTGGAGAGAGAAGGATCTTAAACCCTACCATTATTCCTTGGATAGAGGATGCTCAAGAAAAGGTCAAGTTAATCCGGCAAAGACTTCAGACAGCCCAGAGTCGCCAGAAGAGCTATGCCGATAATCGAAGGAAGGATCTGGAGTTTGAAGTAGGAGACCAGGTATTCTTGAAGATTACACCATTACGGAGTCTTACTGCTGGAAAAGGAAAGAAACTCCAACCCCGATTCGTAGGCCCTTTTCCGATCCTTCAGCGGGTTGGAAAAGTAGCTTACCGGCTTGAGTTGCCATCGAGCCTGTCACGGATTCACGACGTATTTCATGTGTCTATGCTCAAGAGATATTACCCCGATCCAGCTCACATTGTTCAGCCGGAAGAGATTGAAATTGACGAGGCCCTCACCTACGAAGAAAAACCTGTGCAAGTGCTCGATAGAAAAGTTAAGGAGTTAAGGAATAAACAAATTCCACTGGTGAAAATTCTGTGGAAAAACCACGGAGTTGAGGAAGCAACCTGGGAGATGGAGAGTGAGATGAAAACCAAATACCCCGAACTGTTTAGTGATTCAGGTGAGAAATTTCGAGGACGAAATTCTTTAAGGGGGAGAGAGTGTGAGACCCCGAAAATTTTCATATTTTTCAGGCATTTATTTTGGGCATTTGGGCCTAATTTTAGGGTTTTCTTCTATCCGTGGGTTTTCTGGGGAATTTTATGAGAAAATATGAATTTTGCATCATTTTCTGGGTTTAGGTCAAATTCTGTGTTGTTAAGGGTGTACAGCGGTTGCGGGACCCACTAAGACGATCGGTACAGTTAAATGTAGCTTTGGGAAATTTTATATACGGAAGTTTTATCATCTTGTGTTATGAGTTAATTGGAGGTTAGTTGGTTTAATTAAGTGTTGTAAGACAAGAATGAGATAAGCTTGGAAAAAAACACATGTTGCAATCCTATTGGACCTTGGACTTTTGACTTGTCTACACCTTTACTAAATTAAAATTTTGACCAAAATTCCTCATTATTTCTTACCTCTTGGCCGGCCAACTAGAGAGAAAAGAAGGAAGAAAGCTCTTCAACTCTTGCTTCATTTCTTTGTCAAATCATGGAATCCAACCACTAATCTCTCAAAATCCTCCATAAAACCCTCTTGCTAGGAGTGTTTGAAGTGCTTGGTGGTTTTTGTTTGAAAGGAAAGGCTCTCATTTACCTTGTATCAAGAATTGTAAGGTGAGTAAATATGGAATTGTTTCCTTGTTGGTTGTAAGATGAAAGTTATGGGTGATAGTAGTTCAAGAGGCTAGTTTATGGAGTATTTCATGACTTATACTTGAGATGTGGCAATTTTCTATTTATTTAGGAATTTTCTGTTTTATATGATATATCATGGTTGAGTTGGGTGTGAAGGCTTTATATGGCTTGATTTAGAGCTTATATGTGTTAATGGTGGTTAATTGTGGAAAATTTCAGCATTTGTGAGAAAATTCCGGTTTTAGGGTTTGATGAAATTGGGGCTTTTCCATGTATGGTTTTCATGCTATCAATTGATGTGTATATGGTTGTATTGTGATTCAAATGGGGTGAATGGACTAGTTTAAGAACCATAAGTGTAATGGTACAAGTTGGGTGTTGTTCATTAGGTTGGAAATGTGAAGAAATTAAGGGGAAATGCTGCCCAATTAGTTGTAGATATGGGAGGTCTTGAATTGAGAAGGATTTGAATAGAATGGATGAATTGGGGAGTTTGTTCACATTCCACACTGTTGTTACTCCATTTTATTTGTTTTGTGTAACTTGTATTAGTAAGTTAAAGTTATACTTTGACTCGTGTTTGAGTCTTATATATGGTTACTTGCTTGTTTTAGGTCGTACCGGTGGACCGGGACCTACTCCTGACTCGAACGTGTGATTTGCTTGTTTATTTGGTGAGTGTACCAGTATATGATGAACATACTTGTTATGTGGTTTCTAAATGTCTTGATTTGGGTCGAGAGTGTACTTGATCGCTCTTGACCACTTACTTGCATTTACCGTTATTGTTTGGATGTGAAATGGTATATATACATGCTTGACATTTGATGGGGCAATGCCTTAATATTAAGGTGAAATTGAGCTCATGCCCTTAGACCGTTATTCGAGTCGAGCCGGCAAGGGCTTGGGCGATTCGTTAATGAGCCTTTGGGTTCTTGATAGGCGAGTGGAGTGTTAACTCCTCGACCTTGTGGTATACTCGAGTATTACCCTTTTGGAACTATGAGGTGGCGGGCCCGAATAGGGGGTGAACGGTGGAAGGAAATGGTGCGAAGTGGTGTCTACGGATCTTGGCTTGTTTAAATGGTTGACGGAGTGTCAACGTGTGAGATCAAGTATGGCAATCGGAAATCGGCCCTTGAGGGTCGCATGTATCCTTTTATATGTGTATGTTGTACGAAGGTGGTTATGTATATGTGTTAATAGTTGTATCATGAAATTGTGCATTTGGTACCTCACGAGCGTAAGCTCACCGCCGTTGTTTTGTTTTCCTTACAGGAGTGATGTTGAGCCACATTTTGATATGAGATGAGCTAGTGACATAGTTAGTTTTGGAAGCTCCTCGAACATTTGGAACTTTGATGTATTTGAACTCAAGTATTTGTGTTTGAATTGTATAAGGACACTTTCTCATGTATAGATGACATGTATGTATGGTTTACCAAGTCTTGGATTCGTTATATGGTGTATGTGTACAATCGCCGGTTTTAAAAATGAAAGCAGGAAATTTTAGGATGACTTGCTGTGAATTAATTGTGAGATTTTAGTATGAATTGTTCTTTGTATATTAAGAACCTGTTCAATATATTAAGAACCTCAACCTAAAGATCTTCACTTCAAGGGTCTTGTTCAGTGCAGGAAGGATGACTTGCTGTGAATTAATTGTGAGATTTTAGTACGAATTGTTCTTTGTATATTAAGAACCTGCTCAGTATAGCATTTGAACATAGTTTCGGTTGACATATTAATAAAGCTTTATAGTTGATCATTTCATGCAAGGTTTGATCTTTTGTGAAATCTTTTTTGTTCTGGTGTTGGGTGGGATGGAAGAAATAGGGAGTCAAAAGTCGATGGTGATAGAGACAGCGACATTGTAACCCTTCATTCTAAAGTTATAAAGAGCTGGTGTTTTATTGGAGAACGGATTTATTTTTATTTTATCCGATAAATATATTTGTTTATGGGAAAATGGGTACTCTGTTCTTATAATGGAGGAAACCATAAAGAGCTAATGTTTTATTGGAAAACGGGTTTATTTTTATTTTATCCTATAAATAAATTTATTTATGGGAAAATGGGTACTCTGTTCTTATAATGGAGGAAAACCATAAAGAACTGGTCTTTTATGGGAAAATATGACTTTTATGAAAGTGACCGCGATTTGGTATATAAAATTATTCCAAAAAAAAAATTAGAATGAATTTGTTTGTTTTGAAAGTTATATAACGGTCGTTAAATTTCAAATATCCATTCCTTAAACTTCAAAATCTACAAAGTCTCATATTTTTGTTAAATACAAAACCTATCAGTTTCTGCAATTATTCCTTTGTTTTATAAGAATTGTTATATCAGGGGTAAATTTAAAATTTAATTGCATTTAATTCCGAAACACTCATCAAACCAAGCATCAGGAGTTGGAATGATGCTAATTCCAATGTGTGAACCAAGCTAGATATTGAAATGAAAAGTTTTAATTCCAAAATCAGAGTCTATGATTCCATTTTCATTTCCGATTTCAATATGTGAAACAAGCACCCTCAGGGTTTGCAACAAATAACTGTGAAACCAAAAAAAAATAAAAAATCTTATCCAATCCCATTTGTGGATAAAACTTTTACCATTGGAGTCAACATTCATTTTGTCTAGATACACAAAATTTTTTGGAAGAATTTTCTAGGGACATAACTGTCACCTTCAAATGCGTATTTTCTTGATCTCAAAGCGCAAAGTGGAAGGAAAGATGTGTCTTTTACTCCTTTTTGGGTAGAAAGAGGAAAAAGAAAAAGAAAAAGCCAACGCATTACTAATTCTAAAACCTCCCAAAAGAGCAAAAATAATTTTGGAAGAGACAGGGAAAAGAAGGTCCTTTTTCATTTCTTTTCCTTTTCTCTCTCTTTCTTTCCCCCTCCCTGTCCCTGCATTTCCTCCATCATTAACGTTGTTCTTCTTCTAATACAGTAAACATTGCAGGGTACATCTCCTTCTCTCCTTCTGGGTGTTTCTCTAATTAAACCATTAAACCTCAATTAGTAAACAACTCTGTCTTCTGAATTATTTAAATATATATCATTTTTTCCTTTTTCTTTAAAGGGAACAAACTTTACCAAACAGTCCTCAAGGATCCGATCTCTGTTGTTTCTTTTGGGTCAAAACGATTTCTACTTGTCATTAACTTATTCCATATTTTAATTTAAAGCACCGAGTGATTCCAATTTACACCGAAAACACACACACACTACACACAGTCATGCACATATTACAACAAAGATGGCATTTTTAACGTGCAAAACTGCAAATATGTTGAGACCCACATGGAGTTATGTGAAAATAAAGATCTGGGGCATGGTTTAATTGTGATCTTTAATGGTTATTTTGATTGTTGGTGCAGAATTTTAGGTTGGGTTTGGTGGTAGCATTTGCCTCCAATTATTGTACAGAAACAACTGTTTAAGCCACCGTCATTCCTTTGGCGCAGATTTGATAGGCTGCAGGAGAAAAATTCAGGGCATTTTTTTTAATTAATGGTGGTGGTAAAGTTTGAAGTTTTGAGAGCTAAAGAAGGGATTGTTTGAGCTGTATTCATCAAACTTCTATGCCAAGGTAAATCTCTAATGTTCTGTTTTTTCAGATTTTTTTTAACCTTCCATTCTTTGCGCATTTTGGATTTGTATTTGTTATGATCACAATTTGGAAGGCTTTATGGTTAGTGAACGTTTCTCGGGTTTTTTAATTTGTTTTAACTTCCGGAAATTGAAAATGGTTTTTGTGTGGATTTGAAGTCTTAATCCGTATGAAATTGCATCTTTTTCTTAAAAAAAAAGCGAGAAATTCTTATGTTCTTGGAAAATAAAGGCTGTGTAATCTATATTTCAGCTTTTATGAATAAATGATGGCATTTAATTTCTGGAAAATTGTATTTTTGGGTTTGTTTGCCTGTGTGGAATTATTGCATTCGTTTATTTTTGGGGTCTATATGATTTGGGTAGAGCTGAATTATTCACACTTCAGGAGGCCAAGAAGGGTGGTGAAACTGGAGTCTGCTTGCAAATGTCAAAGTCTTCATCCCCTAAATCCAGGGTTAAAAATGCTTCATCTTCTTGTCATCTAGAAGGTCAGTGCTACTCTCTTTACTCTTCTCAGTTTGTGTTAATCTCATCTTCCTCTTTTGCAAGTCTATAAGCTATACTGGTTCTGTAAGTTTCCTATCACCGTAACTATTAAGTAACAGTTTGATTAAATATAGCAAGAACACATTGTGTCGTATTGAGTGTTTTTGATCTAGAGACTTGTTCTTCTAGAGGCTCTTGCACATAAGCATGCTTTATTCTAATGAATGAACCTGTTCTTTGTGCCCAGGGATTCAAATGGAGCTGCAGAATTGGATGATCCAGAAAGGACAATGTCTAGAGTGGCTAAATTTATTGAGCAGCTACATGCAAACAAGTCATCACCACCTGAGAAGGAGCTCATTACAGCCAACTTGCTTGGTATATGTAAAGCTAGAAAGGAAGCCCGGGCTCTTATTGGATCTCACGCCCAAGCAATGCCATTGTTTATATCCCTTCTTAGAACTGGCACTGTTTTGGCAAAAACTAACGTAGCCGCTACTTTAAGTGTGATGTGCAGAGATGAAGATTTACGAGTGAAGGTACTCCTAGGTGGTTGTGTCCCTCCTTTATTAACAATTTTAAAGTCAGAATCAATTGAAGCAAGGAAGGCAGCTGCAGAGGCAGTATATGCTGTTTCAGCTGTTGGACTTTCAGATGATCATGTTGGCATGAAAATATTTGTCACAGAAGGGGTAGTGCCCACTTTATGGGAGCAACTAAATCCCAAAAGAAAGCAGGACAAAGTGGTAGAAGGCTTTGTCACAGGGGCTTTGAGAAATCTTTGTGGAGACAAAGATGGTTATTGGACTGCAACGAAAACATTGATGATAGCCTCTGCATATCAACATAGTGTACTATGGACAAGGCGTTTCTGGAGTCTTGGATATGATATGGAGTCAAATATGGGACCAACCTAATAACTCCTTTGTACATGTGAAAATCCCTTAAGTATAATCTGATGTTCCTTTGAAGGAATGAGTAGGTTAGTATACAAAGCTGGGTTCTATTTTCCCATTCAGTTTTCTGGTGCTTTCTCTGGGAAAAGCATTGACATGGTCAATACTAAGCTGACAAAAGCGCTGATTTCTAGTACCATTTGTTTTATTTCTTCTTCTAGTGCAACTCCATCTAGAATTCCTACTTTTTAGTTATCTGAAAAACTTCACATACAACTATGCTTCATGGAAAATTCTTCAACTTAAAGGAACAAAATATATCAAGCTTCAACAATGATGTTGAGGTACTATAGACAAAGTTAAAATGTTCCTTTAGTTCGGCTATTTCATGTAACTTGCACTTGAGTGCAGTGCATATTTTTGTTATTTCTATATCATATAAACTGTATACTCTTATTGGGGCCATTAGAAAATTACATGCATAATTCAACTTAATTGTCCTCACAGAAATATCTATATAGGCCACAATTTTAACTACCAGTGAGTTAATATACAAGAATATTATATCTAGTTAGATCCCTTTGTTCAGTTTCATTGACAAGACATTAACACCTGCTGTTCAAGTTTTCAATCTTCGCTGCTGCATCTGCCTACTGGTGCCTTGTATAGGAGATACATTGGAGGTTATACTTCATTGGGTCTACAGGAAAAAATTCGGGAAATGCCTTGCTTGAGAAATTTTTTCTGCTCTCCCATTGTAGTAAATGTTTTTGTTTTATGTGAAATTGCTCAGGGGGAGCAAAAGTCACCGGGGATAATTCCTTTGGCAGTGAAGGATGTCTTTGGAATTATTCAAGAGGTACTTTCTATTCCCTCTTTTTTGGGAAAGAGAACAGCAATCAAGCCTTTCATGTCATTTCTTGGAAAGTGCTCTTTCCAGCTTTTGATCCACTTTTTATGTCTTTATTAGACACCAGGGCGAGAGTTTCTTCTCCGCGTTTCTTACCTAGAAATCTATAATGAGGTGAGTTCCATCCTATAACTTTCTTTGCAGGTGGCTTGATTGGCTTTTATTTATCTGCCTGAATATTCATCTCCACTCACCAAAAAGAGTGTCTCCGAGTGTCAGTGAAACTTAATAACTGAAATCAAATTTCCATATGAAAACCGAAGTAAATACAACCAACTTGACCAAAATATTCTTCTAGTTAGAAAGCGATGTTGTGTTTTTCAATCTGTGGTGGTTCTGTATTGCTTTTCTTTCCTAGTTGACCTGTATTTACCAATCATTATGCACCTTAAAAACTCTCTCCAAAGTTTAGAAGCACATACTGTACCATCAGATTCAAAAACTAACATGGTTGTCTAATTTGTTGGTAACTTTTCCCAGAAAAGAGAGATACAAAGTGCAACTTATTGTTCATGGAGTGCTTTTCTATAATTGCCTCTTAAATATCCTATAGGCCTTGAATTCTAGTTGTAGCTAATACTCCCTTGTAGTACATTTTTAAGATCATTGTCTAAGCACAATATGCTTTTCAGGAAGTTGCTTTTGTTTGAGATGATCTACAATGAGTCTGTTTTTTGAAACCAGTTCTTTCATGGTATAGATGACATGGTTGTATTTGAATCTGAATTTTGTAATTTTATTTGTTAGGTAACCTTTTGTTTTTCTCCTTAACGGTTTTTAGATTATGAGTGGAAGTGTCACAAGAAGGTTTTATTTCTTTTGTGTTTATGCCTTTAGGTATTCAAAAGATATGTGAATATTCCATATGATGGAATTCCTCAATTTAATATTGGACTAGTTTGTTGCTTATGATTGCATTTTTCACATGTTTACATTATCAGAACCTTGAAATACTAGTTTTTTCAGTTTGGGTTTTTTTCATTCTTAGTGCCAATTGAAGAAGCATTTATCATTATTGTAAATCATATTTTGCTGTTCATTTCTTTCTTGGAATTTAGGTCATCAATGACTTACTTGATCCAACAGGGCAGAATTTAAGAATAAGAGAGGATACCCAGGTTTGTGTTAATTACATGTGCATGTACTTTTTATGCTATTCTCAAATAGTTATTAAAGGATGAGGCACTTGTGTACTAATTTATATTCTTCTATACTTTATGTTACTTCACTGCTATCTTTATTTAAGTGGATGTTTGAGAAAGTTTAAGTTCCAGTTATGATGAAGGTTATTGAGAATTTATCATATGTGAAATACTCCTTATGCTATGGAATGTGCAATCTGAAGACCGCATAATGCACTATTTTATTGTTTCAGATTCAAAATAATGTGATGTTAAGGCCAATATGATCCTTTCATTGGTTGCTAGTAATTTTGAGCTGCATATCTTTGGTAGGTTAAAGTTGCGTGAACCATAATCTTTTGCAAAGGATGTCTACCTCTTGCTTTTTTATACGTCTATCCTTCTGTAATTATTGATCTACCAATCGATTTAATGCTAGCTTTATCACAGCCTCGGAAGGAGAAAAGTAAACCAAAAACTATTCTGATGTTGGGGAAGGGGCATGGTGTTGGTTCCTGCCACATTTAATAATCAAGATAAGAGGAGGGGATGGGTAAACTGGTTGCAACTTGGCATAGAATGCTGCATTGAGAATTAGAGAGAACTAACAAAAAAAAAAAAAGAATTTGGCAAAGGTTTCTTCTTTATAACCTTGCTGAAAGTTGTTGACAGTATGAAGACTTAAATGTATGTATAATACTTCCTTCTTATGGTAGGAATAATTTGATTTCTAGTGCACTTGAAATAAAGTGGATGGGTTCACTGGATATGTCTGAAAGTTTCAGGAAGAGAGACAATTCGCCCACTATGTTGGATCTATGATAGCTCTCGTTCGTTGTGTTGATTAAAGGCTATTGGTGATCTCCTTGAGGTCAATTTAATTGCAAATATTTTGGTTTGCGCAGCAGTGATAAAATAAAAGACAAAACTAGCCAGCTGGCCTAATATTAGCCAGTCTTACAAGCCACACAGTGAAATTGAATCGCCATTATTCAATCCTAAACAGATTTGAAATCAAGTGGTGGCATGATATTTGGGGTTTGGCCATTTTAGCTTTGTTTGACAAAATTTTTGTTGCATCTTTTCTTATTCAATTTATGTCAAAATACGAACTAAATTTCTTAGTGTGACTTCCAAAACCAGTGATGATGTTATTCATTTGAATAGCTGCCTTTTTAGCAAATCTTTTGGCTCTTCAGACAATAAATCAGATTGAAGGTGCCATTTTACAGGGAACCTTTGTCGAGGGAATAAAGGAAGAGGTAGTCTTGTCCCCTGCTCATGCTCTTTCGTTGATTGCTGCTGGAGAAGGTATTTGACTAAATTTCCTATTCAGTTGATCAGAAGTTTTGATAAATCATTTGCTTATTGAGGCACATAATGCATTCTCTCTTTAACTTTGAACTCGATTAGTATATTCAGCATTTAATAATGGTCACTGCTTATTGATGTTATTGGATTTTGAATTTTTTTTGTTTGTTTTTTTATACCATTGTTAACTTCTCTAGGTCCAAGGTTGGTTGACTAAACATATCTTAAACATGGTTTTATGATGTTGATGCAGAGCACAGGCATGTGGGCTCTAACAACTTTAATTTACTTAGCAGCCGGAGCCACACAATATTCACTTTGGTAGTAATTTTCTCTTACATGCGCTTAAACTGAATTATGCTTACCTTTCTTTACTTGACAGTGACCAATGCATTGCTCTATTAGGCTATCTTGCTTCATATGTCATTGTTGCATGATATTATCAATTAAAGACAAGTTGCAACTGCTAGACGCATAGTCCAGTTAATTTGATATTTTATCAATAGCCTCTCAAGCATAATTATGTTTCTACATACAGCCTGCAAGTGGAGATTACAACATGTCCTAAAAGTGGGGATTTACCAAGATGTTTTTGTAAAGTGGAAGTGGTTATGACAACGTTGTTCACCCTCTCAATGTTGACGCTTAACGAAAATATTTCATAAACTTCTCCTATTCACATAGTTACACTAATTAAAAACCATAGCAATATTGCCTACCAAGCCATTTATAAGTTATTATTACCAAACCCATAAA